GGGAAATTTTCTAAAATTTTTATTTTCAGGTGGGATTGTTGCCCCATCTGTTGTCTTTCGACTGGCGAAAACCGCAAGTCGCTAGTTTTATCATTAAAAAGTTATTGCAAAAACAACCGACTCCATTGTTCATTGAAAACGATAGTATCAATGACCTAACTTTTGGTGCGTAGCTTACTCGGAGAAAAAAGTATAATATAACTGAGGTTATATTAATTGTCAAAGCTAACCTAGTACCTTGGCGACTATCTGTTTTAAGGCATTTTGGGCGGATTATTTTTAGACATAAACTTCGATCTACCCCTTGGCGTACATGAGCAAATTTGATTTTACTGATTGTTTGTCGCTTTCACTCATATGACCAAAATGATCTTGTGAGTAGGGTAAAAGAAAGCTTTAAAGTATAAAAATCAGATTACTTATTTAAAAAAAGGTTTATCACAAAGTTTTGGTTGTCTGATGCAGTACACGCGAAAATTAATTACAAGTTACGCCATTGTGGTGGCGCACCTGTTTGCATTCCAAAATTAACATTTTCAGAGGTTAACTAAAACTTTGTGATAACTCTTTTTTTAAATAGGTAATCTGATTTTTATATTTTAAAGCTTTACTTTTATCCTTCTTACGAGGTCATTTTGGCCATATAATTTGCGCTACTGCATTGATTTTTACTTGTACATGGTAGTATCATCCATATTTCGAAAATGTTGTATGAAATTAGTGCGAACCTGCTAGTGTACTTGCGTTGTGAATGTTGTTGTCGCTGGTCCCAGTGAAGAAATATCCTTGAAAGAAAAGAATTCATTTATTAACACATGTTAAAGCTATATTATTATCTATTGAAATTCTGATTACTTGCACGCATAAATTCATTAGAAAATAAAAGTAGTATGATAAAACAAAACCTGTCGACCAGCGACTTCTAACGTATAAGTAAACTGATAAGCTTTGTATCTTTCAGTTTAGAGGCGACTCATCTCTTGAGACAAACATGTTGGTAGCTACAGAGTCCTTTTCCTCTTTCAAAAATTCAACATTGCACGACATTTGTATTCATCAAGGTGAACTGCCGGCAAGGAGGTATAAAGAAACTAAAAATAAAATAGTACTTGACTTTTGAATTACGCGCGCCTTTCAAAGAGCATCAGAAACTGTGTAGGAAAACGGCTGAATTAAAATTTTACGAAAATGTTAAATCTCACTGAAATCACAAAATATAAAAATTCAATAAGGCGCGAGTAATTCAAAGTTTCAGCAGTTCGAAAGAGTTTAGAAAATGATTGCAATTATAAATTAATTCTTTGTTTAATTTCCGTTCAACAGCGAAAAAGCCACAAAAAGACTGAACGAATAGTGTAAAAATGGTTAAGCGTATGTAATTTTACGTGCTCTGTCTAATGAGGCTAAAACTAGAACTTAGAATTTGGTAGTTAAATCCGAAAACGAGTTTTTATCTTAATTAAGTTTTTCTAAAAACTCGTCTATTCAGGATTGTGCGTGTTTCCGAAGTGTCAAATAGCCAATTCGGATAGAGCTTAAAATCTGACGTATACTGGTAAATTATCAGTATGTGATCGAGAGACACCTTTTCTTACTGCAATCACAAAATATAAAAATCGACTAAATGTTCTTATATCGATGACACGCTAGAAAAATAAGAACGTGTTTTACCATATGGGAAGAGAGAAAAGAGCGAAGAAAAAAAAATATTTTCTCTTTTTCACAGTGTATTCTAAACGAAAAAAACACACTCCGCCACTCCAGACCATTATACGGAGTACCGGAGTGCGGTTTAGTGCAGGCATGGCTGATTCCGAGGCCTAAACACTAAGGAGCGAGTCCCGAGTCCATTTTGAGTCCAGTAATCTTACATCTTTCAGTCCGGAAGCGAACTCGTCCATGCCTGGTGGAGTGTGCTATGACGTAGTGCGCTTTTTCCTTCTTGCACCTTATTCGAATACGTTCATAATTATTAGTCAAATGAGTAAGATCCAAAATATGAACATCGTTTAAGCTGTTAATCAATAAACTTCGGCAGATATCTGTTGTATGACAATCTGTGTCTGATCTGAGAAAAATTTACCTTTATTAAGAAATATATTGCCGACACAAGCATTATAGCCAGGTTCACGATTTTTCTCCGGTAGCTATCATTTTAAAAGATAAATCAGTCCCAAATGCAATCAAAGGTTGGCATTATGACTTTGACAAAAAAATGTCTTTAGAAAATTTTCTTTGCAGCTGTACATGCAGTTATATTACATACTGTATAAATAATGTTCTCCTCTCTTTTTTCTATCTACTATATTCTTGTGACCTTGTGTTAACAGATGTACTAACTAGTGAATTATTTATCATAGAAAAAATGATACTTGGCATTGAAAGGAGGTTAATCATTTCTTTCCTGTTACATAAATAAGAGATATACTCTGGTAAATGGCACATTGAATTTCTGCGTATGTATCTTCGTTACTCTATATAATACATTTGTTAAAGCAGAACACGTAAGTGTTTTACAATTGAGTCAAATTTATCGCTAACGAACAGTTCTCTATTTACCATGATGAAAGCGCAAGTACCAGTTGTAATTATTTTGTTATTTTTTATTGGTGCAAGTATAACATTAAAATGTTATATGGGCACAGATAAACAATGTTTAATTGTTGATTCTACTTCTGATCATGAAGATGCTGACCTATGTGAGGGTAATGCTAATAAACGTTGTACATGCGGCCGTTTCAAATTGAAATGCACTGCGGATGATGCCGGATGTACAGACGAGGAACGATACAAAAAAACAGAAAAATGGGCTTATACATTAGGAACAAAAGATGAATGTCAAGAAATGGTGAGGAATGGCAAATCAAATGGTCTTAAACAAATAACATGTTGTGACAAAAATTTGTGTAATCGACCGTTAAACAAAAAAATCAAATGCAAAAATCTATAAAATCAATTACAGTACAGTTCGTGAATTAAATGAAACATTAGTTTCTTTGCATGAACTGATTTTTTTCTTTTTCCGCCTGCATACGCTGTGCTCCTTAATTTTATTAAAATTAGTTTGAAACCGTATGATAGAGAAGTTTGGAAATGGTTATTAATCATTTTTTCTTTCTAAGCGTTGATCTCTTTTTAAAGAGCATATTTGTATTTGGCGGTTCTGTGGACCGTTATTGAGAAAGCAGATCGTGGTCGTAGGTTAGACGAGATGAATTCAACTAGAGACGTGCAGGACCAGGGCTTGTTTAACAAAAATGGATTATTACTCTTAACTAGAAAACTTCTCAAGTTTTTTTTATAGTTAGCAGCGGCCATTCTACGTAACTCTGTTACCGCAAAGCTGAGTGCGGTACCGTTTTTCGGGAACTTTACAACGTTATAACTTTTTGAGAAAAAGTCGTGGAGAGTTCTGCAACCTCATTAAATACAAGATTCAAAAGTCTTTAAAAGTGGATTTAACCAAACTCCTGAAAAGTGTTCGTTCGGATGATACCACGAAGAAAAGAGAGATCTCTGCACTTGGTTTTCTATACTCTATCCTTCTATATTATACTCTCTCATAA